GTCTCCAATCTATTCGGGAGCGGCAAGACCAGCAAGATGCGAGATTGGACAGCTGGGATCAGAGGTTCACTCAGTGGGACACCCATTAGGGCTCGGGACCCAGTCATCCCTACCCACCACCGAACGCACAGTGACTTAGTATGTTTTCTTTTCCCTTTTCTCTTTTATTTTTGTATAGTTTGCTCTTTTTGTGTCGGTTAACTGTATGGTCTACTCTCTTTCACTGCGAATCGACAATGGGGACATTGTCTGATTTTAAGTGTGGGGGAGTTTACGTGCTTGCGTGACTATGTGGTAAACCTGTCTAGTTTTTCTTTTTAGGGTTGATTTTATTTCTTTCTCTTGTTGGTGGACCAGTCTAGTTTAGGTTTATGTGTTTTTGAGTTGGACATTGGTGAATATCGAGACTAGTTTATGATTGTTTAATGACGTTGAGAAGTTATGACGATGATCTTGAGTGGCATATTTTGATTTGTGGCTCGATTGCTTTGATTAACACTCATACATATATTCCCGGTGAGATTTGAGCCATATTCATTTCTTGTGCGATATTGGTCTAAATGTTGAATAAATCAGAACTTGCCTTGAGTCTGCTGTGAAATAAGTTGATTGGATTTGTGATAGGTGAACATGATAAAGGCATTCTTTGCTATTTGTGTATCCTTTTTCTTCTTTCGAGAATAATTTTCGCTAGTCACCCCTTTGAGCCTTACTTCTTATTTTCGTTGTTGACCCCGTGTTGATAATGTTTGGGAAGTGGATGGTGTTGATTATCGAAGTTGTGACGGTGTTGATTATCGAAGTTGTTTATGAAAAAAAAAAAAAAAATCTAACGGATTATACTCTAAGTGCTCCAACCGTTCAATTACCGGTCACGAGCAATGAGTACGGGAAACCGGTCTAGGAGACTCGGGCAGAAAACCCGATGGCTAAACCTAGATAAGATGTCCATAAGGTTTCAAAAAAAAAATAATAATAATAATAAAAAAATAAAAAAAAAAAGGATAATAATGTGGAAGTGTGTTGGCTTTGGTGAAGGTTGGAGGACCGGTTAAAACCAGAGGAGTTGTTGATTATGGTTGAAGTGCTGAGTTGTGATATATTCTATATTTGAGTCATTTGACCTATATTTATCTTACCCGACCCATTAAGCCTATATTACGTCCATAAAAGTCCTTTTGATTCACTGTCTCATTGATTTGATTGATTTAGAGTAGTGGTTAGATGATAGGCAAGCGTATGATCGATTTGGCTGACAACCAATTTGAGTGCTCCATCTTTTATTTTTGCAAGAAAATGAGTGAGGCATTATATCATATCTCCGTACTAGAGAGTTTGTGTTATCATGTGATTGAGTTCATTATCGAGGTGTGTTCTCGAGATCATTGGAATTCTTTTTAACTTAGTTGATCAATTTGAGACTTTTCTCGTTTGAAACCGGTGTCCACTCTATTTTGCTTGTTTTATTGTTTTTTCTTTTCTTTTTATTGCTCGGGACGAACAATGGTTTTAGTGTGGGGGAGTTGTTCGTTCCATTTTTTGTCGTACTTTCTTGTTTATTTTGCATTTATTTTTCCCCATTCTAGGTTATTTTCTTTGATTCTTGGTCCAATTTGTGTCGTGTCATGCATTTTCTTTATTCTACTCGTTTTTGGTTTTTCTTGTTTGTTTCTCCCGGTTTTCTGCGTTTTTCTTGGTGGTGGCAAGATGCAGGTTAGGTGGTTTGGTAAGTAGCCATGAGGTGATCGTTGTCAAAGAGTTGGGATCGAGTTGAGATGGAAAAGGCGGAACTAAAACCCGAGTCCGGAGGCATGCGTATGGGATGGACGAAAATCTGAGCAGAAATTTCTTCACCGCGGCCCGCTACGGTCTTCCCGCGGCCGCGGTGTACAAAAATGTCTCCAACCCCCAGTTTTCTTCACCGCGGCCGCGGAGGAGGAAGTCGCGGCCGCGGATAGGTCGAGAATTTGGAACCAGCGTACAGTGGCAAAAAGTCGCGGCCGCGGGACGAGTCGCGGCCGCGGACCAGTCCTTCACCGCGGCCCGCGAGCTTGTCCGCGGCCGCGGGAAGCGCGTATTCAGATTTTTAAAACAGTAGATTTTATTTTGAACGGGGGCATTGATGTTTGATCTAGGTTTTGATTTTTCAGTACTTTTCACTCAAAAAACTCATACTTTCTCTTAGATTTGATCTTGTGATTCGATCTTGGAGAGGAAAACTCCGAGATTCGACTTTTGGATTCGGTTTGCTCTTGCTTTCGACATTGGATTATTTAATCGTAAGCTTTCATTTGGTTTTATTATTGATTGAATGGCTTTGATTATTATGTTTGTTGATGTTGAATGCATTATGAGTAGCTAAATCCATTAGCTAGGGTTAGGGGAAGATCGTTCCAGTTCGATTTCGTTTATATGCATGATAATTGCTCAATCCTCTCGAGTTGTGCTTAGCCTAGGGTTTTGATGTTTGATCACCATCTTAATCTAATTAATCGATTTTATAACTGAAAAGGGAGAAATCGTTCGATCTAGGCTCGTTAGGAGTAAGCTTGTTCGTTATAGTATTGCTTATGTGTTGATTGTTTCAAGAATTACTCGTTTATGTCTATCCTCTTGTTACGAAGAGTTATTGAGGATAGATCTCTAGATGAGTAGTTTTGTGAGGCATTTAACCGAGCTTTTGATTGCTCGTTAAGTGTATTGAGAACCGGAATTGATTGACCCCGATACCCTAGCTCCTTTATAATTATTTGAGTTTGAACTTGTGATTCTTAGTTCTATCTAGTTTTTCTAATTACTTGTTTTTCAATTCGTAGTTGATAATATTAAACCAAACCAATCGAATTAGGGTGTTTAGGACTTCTTCATTATTTCGTGTGATTAAATATTCGTATAAAATAATCCGGCTAACCTTTCTCGTGATACGACCCGGTGTTGAATCTTTGGATTCTACTCCGGTAAAAGTATTTACAACATACGGCCTCCTTCCGTGATTGATCGGGTTCCTCGTATTCTTTCATCTCTGCGTGCCGCGACTGTCTTTCTTTTTTCTGTTCGATCTCTGGCGGCTCACCCTTTATCGCAAATAAAATCCTCTAATGTAGAGTCAGGCCCTTGAAAATACTTATGTGGTTGCATTATATCTTTTCCATCGGTCTTTTGCTCCACAAATAGGCCTGGGTGCCTTTTTTCGTAAATAATTCCCTTCTGTTTCAAAGTGCCTAGCAATTAAATGTATTCCCTCAATGTGAGTCTCTCAGCTAATCAAATGCCCCAGCAAATAAGGGCACATTTGGTTGGGGAGATTAGATAAGATGAGCCCATTTATCCTGCTTCATCACGTGTTTGTTGTCTATGATAGTAGCCCGCAACTTTTGGTCCGGCACGCGATAAATTTTGCGTAATCTGGAGTATGGCAGATTAACCAATCTCCTCTACTACCCCATGTTTCAATACATCTGTACAGTATTTAGCTGATGTAATTACCAATTAGCCCTCAAAAAGCATCTAAAAAAAGGCAATTACCGACACAAGGCTCCTCTACCTCTGCGAATGCGAAGATCAGCAGGTATCCTCTCGACCCTTCCGTCCGATTTATTTTTTTGGGTATTTTTTTCTTTCATTTTTTTTTTTGGCAGATCCGTGTGTGTTGTGTTGTGTATGCATTGTTCAGTTTATTACAAAATCGCAACAATTTAAGTACTGAAGAACGATTAAAATATTACCGACGAAAATAATTTTTAGGGCAAGCAGGGATGAGTGAAATTGCATACAGGAGGACGCACCACGAAGAACACGATTTCTTCAAATTGTTTGGTAATCGACGAGGTCGTCGTGATATGCCATCCACATGATTCTGAAGAAATATTCTATGGAAGCGAAACCATTTTCCCGCTCGGACACGCAGAGAAAAAAAAAACAACAATCATAGATAAATCGAATAATTTTACAGCTAAAACAGGGGCAATTTAGTCAATATACATATTTAATCTAAGTCATATCATGCAAAACAAATTTAGGTTCAGTTTATTTTCAATTTTAGCGAATCCGTTAATCATACCTAACAAACAATGGATGTCTGTAATCTTAATAGTGTAATCAGGGTTTAGAAATAAAAATAGTCTAATCCTGTCTTGGAAACCAAATGTGCCCTAAGTGGAGTCCAAAATCACTCCTCATTTATTGGGCTACAGTTGTGCTGGCGCAATTCATCAGTTCCAGCCGAATAACCTCAATCAAATTTAATGTTTTAGTGAGCTGTATAGGCGCCCCGATGTTGCGTATTCGAGCTTTAGTCCGATATGTTGCGCCATGCACAAAAATCCTCTAGCCTGCTGAAAATAATACAAAAAACATCAAAACAAATAAATTCATCCAAATAATAAATAAGTCAAAAAATATATAAGTACGATAAAATTAAGCATATAAAAATACGCTAATAAATATATAGAGTACACACTTTTTCCGACCAATCAATCTATATTATTACAACCAACGTGCAACGACATGAGTTGGGCGAGATGGAAACAGCTAAGGGTAGTGAGTGGTGGAGGGGGGGGGGTCTTGAGCTATTGATCGTGCCACGAAGGGAGAGAGAAAGAGGACAACTAGGGTTGAGAGAGCAAAGAACGGACTGTATATAACACGATTATGTTATGTATATGTGCACGAATGATATACTTACAATATATGGCGTTGCAACTCTGTAGTTGTTTTTAAGACTGTATATGTGGTGATTATATATTGTATATGTTGTGTATATAGGTAGTATATTTGTTTATATATTGTATATGTTGTGTATATAGTTAGTATATTTTCAGTATATGTATTTGTAGACACATTCACATATATGTAATATGTATA